GGGGGCGGAGCCCACGGGACAAGGGGAGGGTGGGGGCTACAGGATGGGGGCGGAGCCAACGGGGCGGGGGCTGTGCCCACGGGGCGGGGACGGGGTCGACGGAACAAGGGGAGGGCGTCCTCGGGGCGGGGACGGGGTCCACGGGTTAAGGGGAGGGCGTCCACGGGGCGGGGACGGGGTCCACGCGGCGGGGACGGGGTTTCTGGGGCCCCCGCTGGAGCCCTGTCTCAGCACCTGGTCAGCAAGCGTAGCTCTTTCTCGTTAGGTTTACGATTATTGCAGAATTGCCAGGAATCCCGCTCGTCACTATTTAACATTTGCTCGGTTTCCCGCTCAGCCTTTTCTCCTTATTTATTTACAGTTGAGGTAACACAATTTTAAGTTTACGAAACCCTAACAGTATGTCAGGAACATTTCTGTTGATTGTTGTTACCAGCAGGAGTTTTGGGAGTAGGTTCATCAGAGAGGGAAAGATGTGTGAGCGTTTCTGTCCACTTGGATGTTTTTTTTGTGGGCTTTATTTGAGAAGTTTTCTTTGGTGAGAGGTCTGTAATAAAATACGTTGATTTCCGTACCACACTTTTAACTCTGTGATAGGTATACGTCCGTTTTAATAGACTAGATTTTGGAAACCTTTCTAGATTTACAGCGAAGTTGGTGGAGAGTGCAGAGTTCTAAATACCCACAGTGTCTGCTCTGTGACGGGGTAGTGTGGCATGCTCGTCCCGTGAATGAACCAGGGTTCGTACGTGATTGTTGACTGAAGCCTGCGCCTTATTGCTGTTTCCTTAGTTCTAACCTAAAGTTCTTTTTCTGCCCCAGGAACCCATCCAGAGACCACGTTACATTGAATCACCTTCTCAGGCCCCTCTTGACTGGCCATCTCTGTCCGTGTTTGATGGCCTTGATGGTTTTGAGGCGCTCTGGTTAGACGTTTCCTAGGGTGCCCCTCGGTTGGGATTTGTTTTCTTGTCGCCCTTATGCTGGCATTACGGGAGCTTGGGAGGAGGGCTACAGAGGGCTGTTTGTCACGGTCGCTGTTGGCCCTGATGACTGACTGAGGTCATGTCTGTCACGTTTACCCACCCCCCATTGTGTCCTGTCTTCTTTAGGGGATTTCACCGTGGGCAGGCACACCTGAGGGGTGGGAAGTCATGCTCTTGAATGTTTGCACTTCTCCATGAGGTGCGTGTCTTGTCCTGCACTTACTAATTTATATCAGCGTGGACTTCGGGGTGTTCGCCTAATACTACTTTATTTTTCTCAGATTGTTTTATCTTTGACCATTGGGAGCTTTTAATTTAGCTCCTTTATTCTTTGGCACACTCATCATTGTGGGATTTTGTGGCGGCTTTTAAGTTTAAAAACTTTTTTTTTTTTAAGATTTTATTTATTTGATAGAGAGATAGCGAGAGCAGAAACACAAGCAGGGGGAGTGGGAGAGGGAGAAGCAGGCTTCCCGCAGAGCAGAGAGCCCGATGTGGGGCTCAGTCCCAGGACCCTGGGATCACGACCCAAGCCGAAGGCAAACACTTAATGACTGAGCCACCCAGGCGCCCCTAAAAACTTTTTATTCTTAAGATTTATTTGAGAGAGAGTGAGTGAGCATGAGTGGTGGGTGAGGGGCAGAGGGAGAAGCAGACTCCCCACTGAGCAGGGAACCCGACATGGGGCTTGATCCCAGGATCCTGAGATCATGACCTGAGCCAAAGGCAGATGCTTTACTGACTGAGCCACCCAGGGGCCCCTAAAAACATTTTTTTAGTACTTCCTTTCTCAGCCCTGGAGTCAGCCATTTCTCCAAGAAGCTCTGTTATTGCAGGACGACATCAGAGATGATAATCTGAGAGCTGGGGTGTCTGTCCCTCAGGCCTTTTCAGCTGACAAAGCAGAAAATACATTTTTGTTAATCCCTGCATGTACACTTGCCTGTAAACATCTCTGTGTGACCACCGTGTTGATAGTCAGGGTCGCTTGAGTCCATACTGATGTCCAGCTCCAATCCACCAGGACTGGAATTGTAGACCTTAAGTAAATGTTAGCAGGTTGAATTAAACTGTCTCTGTCTCCCCTACACCATGTTGTTGATTAGAATTCTGAATTTCTTAGTTTTCCAGTAACATCATTTCTGTGCCCAAGTTTAGCCCCTTAGGAAGGATTGTGGTATTGTAGTGTTGAGTTGGTGTGTATGATTTTATTTTTTTAATTTGCCACCAGTATCATAGTTCTTATTTTCTCCCCATAGAAAGAAGTTTTGGTATGAAGGTCCTTCCTTGGGCTCTCACTTGGTAAGTACAGAGCAGCCATAAGGAGCTGCTTTAGACTCTGGTGGGCATAAGGCTCCAGAAGTCGGCAGAGCTCCAGCCTGGCCGTCGTTCCATTTCCATATTTGAGAACACAAGGTCTGCAGGAGTGGGACTAGAGACATTGGTAGTGTGAATTCTTAGATTTTATTTATTTTATTTTATTTTAATTAAAAATTTTTTTTTAAGATTTTATTTATTTATTTGACAGAGACACAGAGAGGGAACACAAGCAGGGGGAGTGGGAGAGGGAGAAGCAGGCTTCCCGCCGAGCAGGGAGCCCGATGTGGGGCTCGATCCCAGGACCCTGGGATCATGACCTGAGCCAAAGGCAGACGCTCAACCGACTGAGCCACCCAGGCGCCCCAGGAGCAAGTTTAATGTACAATTGTAATGTTGGCCTTTTTGTCTGTTCTTCTGGATGGAGATTTACAAGCCATCCCAGTTGGAATTCCTAATGAAGAGCACCTCAGAGAAGACCACGAGGGACGACCACGTGCGCCTGAGGGCACTGAACGGCCTCCTCTACAAAGCGCTGATGGATTTGCTGTGCACCGCTGAAGTGAGCCAAGAGATCTGTGACCTGAATGTGCAGCTCTCCAAGGTAGACTTGGGGGCAGAGCGGGAGGAACGGGGGAGGCCGGCAGCCTAGTGGTTAGGAAGGAGGCCCCACGTCGTTCACGAGGTCTTTGAGTTCAGAAGCCAGGTTAAGCGTGACCATCTAAGTAGTAAAGACGGGGTGCATGTGTACGTGTGTGGTGTGCAGGCACTGATGGCGTTGTCCGGTGCCCAGGACGTGTGTGGGGTGGGTGGGTCTCCGCCTGTCTTCCCGCAGTCTGTGTCACCCTAGACTTGAGTTTAGCCAGAGGGACGTACGGAGGGGAAGAAGTAGCAGGTCAGGCATTTCTGATGTGCGCTGTGGGATCGGGGTCAGGCACGTTGAGGTTTTGGATTCGGAGCCCAGCTTCCTCCCTTGTGGGTGAGCGGCAGGAGACGGTGGCCTGTGGCGGTACCTGCTGGAGCGCCTGCCTGTGGGTGGCGGGTGCCTGAAGCTGAAGGCTGCGCACGCGTTCGTTTTTGTCTCCTGAGTGTCGTGTGCGGGAAACCCACGGGAGCTGAAAGTGATTCGCGGCTGGGGTGGGTGGGCTCAGGTCTCTCTGACTCCAGACTTCTCCGCCTGCCGCGTGTACTGGAAGACCACGGTCTCCGCTGAACAGAACGCGCACACAGAGGCCGTCCTGCAGAGGAGTGCTGCCCACATGAGGTGATGGCGCCTTGCTCTCTCAGCCCGCCTGCTTTGGCTTGCATCTTGAACCTCCCCCTCGTTCGCTGTGTTTTTGCTTTTAAGGAAACTCTTGGAAGCATACTCTTAAATTCCAAAATGTAACTTACATATTCATGCGGGATGTAGTCTAGGACAGTGGTTCTTAAAGCGTGGTCCTAGACGTCTAGGGGCTCCTGACATCCGGATGTCCCCGTGGTTGGTGTAGCCTCATGCCAGCTGCTCATGGGAAAAAGCGCAGTTTTCCTCAAGAATATCCTTGACGAATAAGCGAAGTTACTAATTTTATTAAATCCCGACCCTTGGGTGCATGTCATTTCGGTGTGCGGTGGGGAGCAAGCATAAACTAGCCCTGCTGGCGTGGGACGGTCATCTTGGGAAACGTGCAGTTGACGTGAGCTGAAGCAGACGCTCCTTCACTGAAATAGCAAGTGAGCTAGCTGCGCTTTTTCAGATGTGGGTATTTGACGTTTTCTCTAAAATGAGCAAAGTGAACCTGTCACGTCACAAAACAACTGACTGTACTTGTTCCCAGTGATAAAATTCAAGCCTTTTTCTTTTAAAACAGTTATTTGTCTGGGGTGGGGGGAGAGGCAGGGAGAGAGAGAGTCATCAGCCAGACTCCCTGCCGACACGACCCTGAGATCACGACCTGAGCTGAAACCAAGAGTCGGACGCTTAACCAACTGAGCCACCCGGGCGCCCCAAAATTCAAGCTTTCAAATGAAAATTGACTTTAGAAAACTTGTGTCTACCACCAGGACTCTGATAGCGTTCCGATACTTGAAGACTGGATGAGTCCGGTGGTAACACTGACTAGTGTTGTGTGGTACAGTGCAAGCATCAGAAAACCTGGGTAACTCGGGGAGTCCGTAGTCTCCAAGCGAGCAGAACAGGAGGCTACAAAATCAAGTGTAGGGGAAGCTCGATTCAAAGTGCAGGAAGACCAGTGGATTTTAGTATAACTGTGACGCTGGCCTGGCTTCAGGTTCCACAGTGCAGCCAGCCCTTAATAAATCATCACTGGTGGACTTTCTGTGGGTTATCAGAGAAGATCATTCTTTTCTGAGGTGCTGTTCACATACTCCTTTTCCAGTTAGGGAACTGTGTGAGGCCTGATTTTCCTATATTTCAGCCAAAATAACAACAGCTCGAATGCAGATGGAGAGATGAGAATCCAGCTAAGCTAGGCAGTGAAGAAATTTGTAACTAAACAACGCCACATCTCTCAATTTTTTTTTTTTTATGTAGTTATTTTTCAGGATGTCTGGGTGGCTCAGTCAGTTAAGTGTCTGCCTTTGGCTCAGGTCATGATCCACGGGTCCTGGGATCAAGCCCCGCATCGGGCTCCTTGCTCAGCAGGGAGTCTGCTTCTCCCTCTGCCACTCCGCCTGCTTGTGCTCTCTCTGTCCCTGACAAATAAGTAACTAAATAAAATCTTTAAAAAAAAATTATTTTTCATTAGAAATATCCATGCGTGAACACTTAGTGAGTTCGTTACTTGAAATGAATTAATGTATATTTTTCAAATTCTGAGTTTTAATTTATAGTACGATAGATATAGACAGATATAACCCACATTAACAGAAGCTCCTTGGTGTTCTCAGTGATTTTTAACAGTATAAGGAGGTCTTGAGACCAAACATTTTGAGAACTGCCGAGCTGGGTGATAGTAAAGGAGTTAACTCTGTTTCCTCCCCAGTTTGAAGAAATGCAGAAACCTAATCAACCAGCACTCTCAGAACTGGGTTCTCTCCTCCCTGCTTCCTCCCTTCTCTGTCCGTCTCGCCTCTCCCTTGTCTATCATACTCCATTTTTTGGAGAAGGGGATGAGTCCTGTGTGGAACCAGTGTTTTTTACATACCATCCGCTTCAGCTCTCCTGACATCCATCCCAGGAGACCCTAGGAGTCTCTTTTTTTTTTTTTAAAGATTTTATTTATTTATTTG